CTTAAATAGTCGGTGAGTTCATTCTCTTCAGGGACTATAAATCTTATTTATCCGCGTCACATAGATGCGTCACCTCCATCCTTTCTCTCTGTATATTTTGAGTGCGTGATTTCTTTTCTCCACTTTCTCAATGCCTTAGTCCCTCCATATGTTTAGATGAACCATACGTGTTGACTAAGCCCTTTAAGCCTATCTTTCCTTTGAGTATAACTTCCCAGTCTCCTTTTATGTGACAATCCTCTTTTCTGGGAAGAATAATATCAGATCCTTAATCGATAGTTTTATAGATCCCTAGGCTCGAGATGTAATTAATTACGGGGGCTTGTGCCCATGGGAAACAGAACTCCACCATGTGGACCTCCGAAAGAGCACCGCTCATGGGGTTTGAATGCAAAGGGTACGGCCATACTAGCTCGAAGGACAAAACGATCGTAGGCCTTTATACTCGACATAAGAAGGCTAATTGAAGGGCAGATTAGATCATACATACAGCTAACCATTGAGGATAGCAGCTCTCGCCAGCACACCCCGATGGGTAGCAATATGCATGACCTGATCAAAACAACTGGTTTTGCCCACCTGATACATCAGTTTGGATGGGGTTTTGTATATGGTGGAATTCAATTTCCCACGAGCGCAAGCCCCCTGATTAATTATATCTCAGGCCGGAGCCCGAGAAAACTATCGATTAATGATCATACATTTTTCATTTAAAGTGGGATTGTCATAAGGGTATAAACTAGAAAGTCCTACTCAAAAAGGAAAGAATGGATTTAAATTTGCTTAGTCAACATGCAGGGTTCATACCAGCATTCAGAGGGACTAAGGTAGTGAGAAGAAACTGGAGAAAACAAATCATACACTCAATACATGCGTGAGAGAAGGATAGAAGTGGAGTCATTCATGTAACGGAGATAAGCAGGATTTATAGTCCCTGAAGAATAGGGAACTTACCCATTATTTAGGTATACTACGAGACCGAATGTAGTAGCCTTGAATCCTAAATCTAATTTGGGTTTAGTGTTATACGATTAACACTAAGACTCGTGTCCTAACTAATGCGGTGTAAAACCTGGGCTTACCCCGGCCTGGATTGGAGAGCTAGTTAACCACCTAATCACTTTAAAACTATGCTGTCATATCATTTTATGAAAGATGGATGGGTGGTACAGTTTTTGAAAGTTAAGGCCGACATCTAGATGGTCTCCTAATTGGCCTTATACTTATGTAGGGTAAATGCTCCTAAAAATTCCTAGAAAATTCTGGGATATTTAGGATATCACTAAGTTTAAAGTGTTAAAGTTTTCATGTCAATTAAGGATCTATCCTAGCTCCTAGAATTTTTCTAAGTTTACTAGACGGGTGCTTAATTATTGTCCTTAGGGTGTCACTATATTATAAAGGTTTAAACTTGAGTTCTGAACTATTCCATAGGTATTAATGCATGGAGTACTCAAAAATAGTAAATACACAATGTCCTTAGATCTAGGAGAGCCTAAACTAAGTGCTAGTGTATCCTACATATGCAAAGTACGCTAAGAGAAAAGTAAGTGCACCTAACGAAGCGATTAATGAATGATTGAGACTCAATCATTCACTAATCCCCTCCACCATGACTTGCTCTTCAGATGCACAATCCATGTTTAAAATTTCATTGGAGTGAATCTCCCAAAATTAAGATTTAAAGTATAAGTAATTTTAAAGTAATTTTAAAATATTTATAAATATATATAGATTTTGGAAAAAAAGATAATTAAATATATCAACTTATAATAAATAAATATAGGGGAAATCCACTGGCCACCTTAGCGAAGTTTCAAAAGGGTTTGAAAATAATTTTTAATTTCAAAATAATTATTATAATAATCATTTAAGTAATATTAAAATACCAAAATAATAATATAAAGTAGAAATATGCCAGAACGACAAGAATTAATCTCTAAAAAATTTTAAATTAAAATTCATAATTTTTTGAAAATTTAGAGGTATTATGCGTCAAAAACGGATTTAATACGAAAAATATATGATTTTTAGAAGTTCAAAAATGTTAAAAAAATAATAATTATTAATATAACAACAATAATAATAATAATAATAATAATAATAATAATAATAATAATAAAATAATATAAAAAAGTATTTTGATTGTTTTTCAAATAACTAAATAAATACCTATTAATTTTAACAAAATTAATTTTAAATTAAATAGAATTAAATTACGAACAATTCGATATATTACACACAATTTTCGAAGTAAAATTAGATTTTCTATGAATTATTAAGTCAAAACTAGCTTTAAAATCAATTAATACAAATAAATAATCTAGAAAAACCTCGAGGTGACACATGGTACGCTCGGGTTCGTCCCGCGGTTCCAGGAGTGACATGCGACGGGATCCTGTTGATTTCGCGGACAGTGGCAATCATTGCCGCAATGACCTCGGCAATGATTGCCACGGGTCAGCGTCACTTAGCCACGTAGGACAAGCCCCCCCGGCGTTCGATCCCGCGCGTAACGAATCGACGGCTGAGATCGTGCCGGACTGCGTGCGGAACCGCTAGATCAAACTCTGCGATCTAACGGGACCGCAGAACGTCGCAGTTTCGATCGTTGATCACGGGATCAACGCCCAGATCTCGCAGACCGGGGCTTAGGGCGAATCCGAATGCCAAAACGATAATTCGTTTTGTTCTCGCAACATACGCGATGAAATTCAAAAAAAAATTTAAACGTAGGTAGCCTATACAAAGAGCATTCATGGGGGACTAGTTTCGAGGTCTGAAACTATCTAAATAAAAAAATTATATTGTTCTAAGTGTTTCTAACTAGGGTTTAAGATATACCTCAATCCACATGGTGGATTTGGTAGATCTTGGGTTATCTGAATTTGTAGACTGTCCACGAATAATTTTGGAGAAGGATCCTCGAGCTCCCAATGCCTGGATCGATCGAAAATGGCTTTGGAAGATCTGAGGTCTCGGTTGGTCAGAGATCTCGTTGCCAGCGACTCCAACACTCGGGTTTGGCTTGGGGAAGGTGGAGGAATCCTAGGGGAACTCTCACACGAAATATTTCGGGATGAGAGCGGCTCGGCTCATAACAAAAGCCAAAATCCTCTCTAAAGCCTAAATTTTCCCTATTTAAGGACCAAGGCATGGGATCCACGGTTAGGATTAGATCTTGATTGATTTGGCGGCCCATTCAAGCTCCTTTAAGACGTGGTTTTGAATTTCCAAGCAATAAGGTGACTTTAAATGCATTAATTAGGTCTTAAATGGGCCTTAATGGGTCATATTGACCCATTAGGAGCTAGGGTTGAACAAGTCAATGTTTGACTTGGTCAAATCAGTCAACTACACCCTAGGGAAGAGTGGATTGAGCCAAAAGTGGGTTTGGATTTGATTTAGATTTGAAATGACCCCTTAAGGCTCATTGGGTCAACCTAGGTTGACCTGAACAACCAGGTTGACCCAGGGCATGGGTCTAGGCCCAACGGGATGGGTCAAACCCATTGAGTCTAGTGGAGTGGGTGTTTGAGTCAAAGAGGGTCTGAAATCAATTTGAAATCAAATTGGGCTCAAATAGGCTAAAGGGGCCAATTTGGGTCAACCCTGGTTGACATGGTCAACCAGGTTGACCCAGGACTTGGGCCTGGGCTCAGCAAGCTTTGCTTGACTCCCTGAACCCATTGGGATGGGTCCTGGGATCTAGCCTGGTCAAATTTGACCATGTCAACTCTTTGACCTGATCTGGGGGGAAAAGTAGGTCAACACACCATCAAATAAATCACATTCGAGCTAATGTATCGGGTGGGGGAAAATCATTATTACGATCAGGTCGTATATATTTCTAACCATTGGAGTGCGCTGGCGAGAGCCGCTATCCTCAATGATTAGTCGTATATGCGATCTAATATGCCCTTCCATCGGCCCATTTGCGAGGAGCATGGAGGCCCGCGATCGTTCTATCCCTCGAGGTGGTGCCATTGTATGCCCTCTGCACTCTGCAGTCGAACGGTGTCCTTTTAGAGGTCCACAATGGGCTTAAAGTTAGGGTTGCAAATAAAATGAGACAAGTCGAATAAGTGTTTGATCATGTTTGAGCTTGTTTATTATCAGCTTATTCAAGTTTAATTTGAGCTTTTTTGTTTATATTCAAGTTTAGTTTAAAATGATAGAGGTTCATGTTTAGTTTGCATTTTTTTCAATTTCAGTTTGTGCTTATAGAGCTTTGAACAAATGAGTTTTATCAATATATTAATGAGCTTTACTTTCTAGATGTTCATTAAGTTAATAAACAAACACTATCGAAACTACTAACAAACAATTATTTAGACTTTGTTCGAGAATATTTGTAGCCAGTGTTTTTGACCTTATGAAAGAACCCGTTCATGAATATATCTAGCAAGTATTTTTCGAGCTATTAAACTAGCTTGTTCAGGAACAAATAGTCTCAAAAAATTATTCTTCTTACAAACAAGGTTGTTCATAAACATTTAAAACAAACAATCCAACAAATATGAATAAATACTTGTTATTCATGAACAAATTCATTTTATTGAGAGTAAAAATAATTTTTTTAAAAGAATCACTAATTATAATAAAACTAAAATTCTGTGAAAATATAAATTAAATAAATATTTTTATTGCTTTCTAAAATAGCTTTATAGTACAAAATTTTTTTGAATTAGAAAATTTTGTATTAATAAGCTATATTATAAAATAGTAAAACAGCTTTTGAGTAAAAAATTTTAACTTTTGTAAAAAAAAAATTATTATAAGAAGCAGTAAGAAAGTCGTCCCAAAAGAAGCCTAAGCTTTAATCGGTTCTTAAAAATTCACAATATGTGCAGCAAATAGATTTATAGGAAAACTTAATTAATTCTTAATGATTCACAAGATCTCTATTAAATATGAATACTTTAATTGATATTATTCATTGATATTATTCATGAATATAAACAATTCGATCATTCAAGTTTATTTATTTAATAGCCACGTATCTAAAATTTGTTCAAACTTATTTAATTGCTTAAACATATAATTATAAACAACCTATAATCAAGTCGAGTCAGAATGCAATTACAGAAAGAAGACAAGCCTGATTGAACCCGTTTGAAAATTGAACATAAACGAAACATGATCATAAAATCTTGATAACAATTCTCTCGCATCACAATTTCTTTAACAAATAGCCGCAGCTCTGATCCAAGCTCCCACCTTCCTGAACCGCCGCCGTCGCCTCCGCCTGGACCTGCGCCGCCGTCTCCGCCAGCCTCTCATCTCTCATCATTTCCCTCACCTTAACCGCTATCTCCTCCGCCGCCACGACTCTTTCTTCAGCCTCCCACGCCCACTTCTCCGGCCAAATTCCCAGTCCGCTTCTAGCCACAACCGCCGCATTCACTCTTTGATCTCCCATTCTCGGCCATGCGAGGATCCTCACCCCCGCCGCCGCCGCCTCCGTCACTGAATTCCAACCACAGTGGCTCATGAATCCGGCCACGGCGCGGTGAGAAAGAACCACCTCCTGCTCCACCCACTCCTTCACCACCAATCCCCTCTCTTCCACTCTCTTCGCATACTCTTCTCCCAACAATTCCTCAATCTCCATTACCTCTTCTCTATCCACCTTCGCGCTTTTCACCACCCAGAAAAACCGACACCCGCTATTCTCCAGCCCGGCACCCAATGCTCTGATTTGTTCCTTCGACATCGCCGTACGACTTCCGAAGCTCACGTACATCACCGACTTCTCCTGCTGTTCATCGAGCCACCGTAGTGCTGGCGAGGGCAAAGATGGTTGCTTTTTTACCGGAGGCAACGGGCCTATAGCAATCACCGGCGGGAGTCCGGGAAGGACCGCGCCGGAGTTGAGCGCAACGAGTACTTCGGGCTCCAATGCGGAAAATGTATTCACGAGGATACCGTTTGCTTGAGCAAGCGCCCGACCGTTCTCCACGAATTGGGTGGTAAAGAGGTGGTTCGGGTCACGGAGAGGCGGCGGGAGAGAGGAAGTTGGAATCTTGAGGACGCCGCCGGCGATGTTAACGTCAGCGCCGGCGGTGGGTGTGGAGAGGAAGGCGAAAACAGAGCAGAGAGCGAGCATGGAAGCAGAGGAGGTGAAAAGGACGAAGCAGGGGATTTTCGCGGCGGCAGCAACTGGGAGAAAGGAGGAGGCGATGGAGATATCTATGATGAGGGAGGAGACCGGTGGTGAGCAGGTGGAGATGAACGAAGGGAGTAGGTCGGCCGAGCGGCGAAGAGCTTCCATTTGGAGGAAGAAGGGATCTGAGGACGGGGGGAAGAGAGAGGGATCGAGAGGTTTGATGGGGAAGTCGAGAAGGAGGGAGGATGGGAGGGAGGATAGAAGGAGGGATTCGGCGGCGGATATGGTGGGGCGGACGGCGAGGAGAGAGACTGAGATGCAACGTTCGGAAAGCGCGCTGGCGAGGCGAACGAAGGGAACGAGATGGCCCATGCCGGAGCTCGGGAGGAGGAGGACGCGAGGAAGGTTAGTGTCGCCTGAGGACATGGATGTAGATTTGCTCGAAAGATGAATCGCAATTCGCAAGTATAGAGGAACTGTCGGTGGGACTTGGCATGGATCATCTCCATTTAATGAGAGGAGCTAGTAATTTAACATATTAAATATTAATTTTTATGTTTTTTAAGCCAATTAAATAATACTCATACACATATCCCACATGTCATACTCAAATCTAGATTAATTATTATGTATGGACGTCGAACGTTTTCGGAGATCAACTAGAATATACCACATCACCCCTTGCTTGGTACTGCTAACGTGGCACATTCTAGTTGGTCTCTAGATGAAGTTCTGCATCCAGTATCTGCACATAATAATTTCTCTCAAATCTACGACATCTTGATTGATAGCCAAAACTTCTAATCAATAAACCAATATGAGATGCATAGTATTTTTATTCTTTTTTAATGTTTTAAATATTGTATTAGTAAATTGAAAGTTTTAGATGTTGAATATGTAGGTAAAAGTATTTTAGATGTTGCACTCTGTACTCTAACCAATCAGAGTATTCATCAAACCATTTCGGATTGAACCTACGTGCAATATTTTCATATAAGTTTGAGGAAATTGATGACTTTTCGGTTGATGAGGTCCATTCAGTAAATAAGATCTCTGAATCTTATCTCTATCATTAACATCATAACTCCAAATAGGAAGTCGGAGTCCTGGATCTGATGGTAGATTATTAATATCAATTTCTACTCACTCTTTTCTCTTTAAATAATGCTCCATTATTTAACCCTAGAATGAAATTTATTACCAAGAAAAAAGCAACCGTCAATCAAAATATTTACATCATAACAAACAAGTATGCTTTTATACAATAGAAATTTCAACTTAAACATTAAAAACTATGCTATGCTTATTTTAACAGATTTTGTAGATGAGATACATACACTTAAATGCAATTAAGTATCATACAAACTAAAATAAATCTAATATATTTAAATCTGTCACAAATAAGTATCTCTTAATCTTCCACCAATATTGATGAATATCATGTAAAGTAAAATTTCACATCAAATGCTCATAATCCTCACCTTTTTCCCCCTTAGTCTTAAGAAGAAATCTTTCGTTTAGTAGGGTTCCTTCATATTATACCGTGTTCTTAATCCCTCAACCTGGAGACAAATGCACAACAATGGACATAAATCCTCCCCTCAGCTCCTTACAGCTTGGCACAATATAGATGAGCAAATTTAACCATATAAAGTGTAATTCACAGTTTTTTTTGCTTCTGATACATAACTGAGAAAAAAAATCATCTTTGAATTCTTTTTCTTTTTACCGTTCTATAATCCGTGAGCATCTCTTGTTTCTAGGCTAAGATTTCTTAAAGCTAAGCTAAACCATAAATAATTGATGAAAAAATAGTGCTTCTAAAATCTAAGAACTGAAAAATAAATAGTGCTTCTAAAAATCTAAAAAATCTAGTTGTTTGCAATTGAATGATGAAAAACTGTAGAATCAAAAAATTTCAGCGAAAGAAGCGAAGAAAACTACGAAAGAACCAAAGAAATGGGCGGAAGAACGGAAGAAATGTCGAAGAAGGCTTACCAGAGCACTTAGAATGATGAAAAATGAAGTCCTTTCCATTCGCCTCCCCCGATTCAAGCTTCAAGAACAAAAAATCAAAAGAGCCGGAGATGCAGATGGCGATCGCGTTTGTTCGGAGCGGAGCGAGTATCGCGTTCATTCGGAGTGGACATCGGAGCGAGTATCGGGTTTGTTCGGCGGGGCAAATCTGGAGAAAAATTTGATATTAGGGCAAATTTTAACCTATTGAAGGGGCAAATTACCTAACAACCCTTAGACTTAAAAGGATTTTACATTTTTTTAGGGGGGGGAGAGGCAATTTTTTTAGGGGGGGGGGGTAACTAAACCAAGCAATAAACACAAACAAAAAAGAAAAAAAATGCAGCGAAAAGAATGAACACGAGAATTTAACATGAAAATTTTTGAAATATGGAAACAATCACGGAGCCAGATCATATCAAAAAATTCATTATAAAAATTTGGGAGAAATAATACAAATCTCTCACACTCTCTCATTCTCTCCTTATTTCTATTCACTTTTGCATTGTTCTCTTATAGGTAATAATAAAGAGATACACAATAAAATCATCAAGTGACGCAGCCCTTCATGAAAAATGAGAAAGAGAACTATAAGTCCGTCTCATAGCTCCTGGGTTAGAAGTGCCATAACGCTTCATGACTCTCTATCTTCTGCCTGATTCATAGTGCCACGGTGGTGAGGTTTGGAGCGTCACAAAGTTCTGCTCTCTATCTACCTCCAATCAAACAATACAATAATGTAGAGCTCAAGTACATAACATCACAAGCCTTTACGGTTATAACAAACCCAAGCAAAGGGAGGACCCTCTGCAACCACCTCGACAAGCTCAACTGATGAAATTGAGATTCAAGACAACATTTTTTTTCTTTTTTTGGTTCAAGACAACAATAAAACTTGATTGATAGACACAATTAGAGATTTTTATATTAGAGATTTTTTGATTCCACACAAAACTAACAATATGAAGATTTTTATATTATTAAATGTACTTTAAATTTATTATTTTAAATAAAAAAATTTCTATTACACTCATCTTAACCTAATTATTACAATATTTAGAGTCAATACAAAAAAATTTTGTCATGGTATGCCGAGCAAATGTTTATAAAATTTATCAAATTCACTATATTTTATCAACATTTTCAACAGCCAACTAGCTGCATTTATTCTGGCCATACTCCATCAAAAGAAGCCTAACTTGATAATTTTTTTAGTAAATTTGAAGTAAAACATTTATTAAGTATTAATTTATTTAATGGATAATTTTTCAAATGTTTTTTTTTTTTTAGAACTTTGTCAAAGATTGAAGGGAATATGGATGGCTTAGCATGCCAACTTCTTTAGTTTGAAGGGAATATTTTAGTCGCCAATGCCATATTTCATATTAGATTGATGGCAGATTGGTCTGGTAGACCCATGCCAATATTTTGACCAAGGGTTAGAAAATTACATGGTCTAAGCCTCTAAGGAGTCGGATTAATAACTCTATAGGTTTCGCTTCAATGTGAAGCACAAAGTTCATGACCGTTTAGTGTCTATTTTGCAAATACAGGCTTAGATAATTTGTGAATATTTTTGTATAATTTTTGGATCCCAAATTTAAAGATATAAAAGAATTTTTAGTTATATAAAGGATTTTAAGTTAAAAGTTGAACAACTAGCATAATGATTAATACATCATTTGAATATTTTTTTTATTAAAATGATCTTTAAGCACTTTGACAATTCCTTTTTTTTATCATCTAGTTTTAAGAGTGATAAATCAGTAAAAAATTATCTTGATCAGGCACAAATCTCAAAGCAAAATTAAGTTGAAAGCTTCCGAAATTAAATCAAAGACCATTTGAGCTCCAATTTCATCAAACTTATAGTCAGACTGAATGTCTTGAGAATATGAGCCCAACGGCACCAAGCTCGACTCAATCCGAGCCTGAATGGGTCCAAATCAAATGTCTGAAGCACTGTTGAAGGGTTCAAACCACAATTTGGATTACCAAACGGTTTCCAAATATGGCATGCTTATATTCGAATCGAGCGGCTCGACGAGATGAATCCAATGAGCCTAAGATCATTTAATTCTGAAATCGTTAAGGCATCCAATTGACCAATAAACGGTCCATGATCAAGGGGATCAATATCGGTCGTCCATTCAAACACTCCAATTTTGCCCTTGATCCTCCACATATTTACAAGCCATGCCACTCTCAAAAAATTATAAATAGGCCCTCATTCTTCACATGAAAAGGAGGAGGAAGAGGGAGGAGGAGTAGAAGTAAGGGAGGAGTTTGGGAGCTATGTTCCTGCCAACCATCGCCGGAGTTCCTGCCGACCACCGCCGGAGTTCCTGCAGACCACCACCGGAGTTTCTGCCGACCACCGCCGGAGTTCCTGTCAACCACCGCCGGTTTTCCTGTTGACCATCGCCAGAGTTCCTGCCGACCACCGCCGGGGTTCCTGCCAACCACCGCCGGGTTTCCTGCCAACCACCGCCGGAGTTCCTACTAACCACCGCCGGGTTTTCTTACCCACCACCGCCGAAGTTCCTGCAGACCACCGCCGGGGTTTCTGCCGGTCACCGTCGGAGTTCCTTCTGACCACCGCCGGGGTTCATGCCGACCACCGTCGGAGTTCTTGCTGACCACCGACAGACTTCCAACAGTTTGCCGACCGCCGTCGGACTCCCTCCAGTTCGCCTACCACCGCTGGACTTCTGCCAGTCTAACGACCACCGACGGACTTCCACCAGTTCGCCGACCGCCGTCTGATTTTCTCCAGTTCGCCTACCACCGCTAGACTTCTGCCAATCCGCCTACCATCGCCAGACTTTCGCCCGTTCGCCAACCATCGTCGGACTTCAGCCAATCCTCCCAATAACTGTCATCCGACTATGGTCATCCTGACCTCTGTCGCATGTCGACTACAATCTTCCTGGCCTCTGTCGCATGCCAACTACAATCTTTTGGACCTCCGTTATCAGCCTATTACGATCCTCCCGACCATCATCGCCCGTTGATAATGATCTTTGAGATCCGCATCGCCCGCCGACTACAATCCCTATCGACAACGGTCCCCTCGACCTTCGTCGCCTGTTGACTACGATTCTTCCAAACCCCGTCACCCATCGAATATGGTTCTTCCGATCTATTTCGCTCGCCGACTATGGTCTTGATGCCGACACAAACATATAAACACTGATTCTTCCAACTCTTACTATACACTACACTCTACATGATGTATATTTGCTACTTCGAGCCAAGGCCCTCCTCTTAAGGAAGGGCATCATTTGTAATCAATTGCAAGCACTAGTGGATTCATTCAAACTGGGCCAGGCCCCATGGTTTTTCCCCCTTTCTAGGGGTTTCCACGAAAAAACTATGGTGTCTCTTATGAACTTTACACAATCTCTTTCATCTGTCTGTGTGCTGGATCCTCGTATAAAGCTAAGGTATTAATCTTTATATTTCTCTACCACCGCGAATTTTCCAGGACGCAACAAAGA